GTCAAACATGCATCAGATTTAGAGAGGCAAGCAAGGTGGTAAAAGACGCAATCAGCTTTCACCAGTTTACTTTTTTCCTTATATGTCTTTTAGCTGTGTTGCTCAGCACTGTGTTTGTGGAGGTTTATACACTCCGACAAATTCTAGTTGCTACCTTAAGAGCATTTATTCCTCATGGAAACTCATTTCACATCTCATCAGTTACAGCAATGAGACGGGGAAACCAATTTCTTGTTTCTCTGAGGTATGTGCATGCTGGGCGGATGGCACAGCTGCAGCCCAAGCTGAATTGCATCCTGGCCTGAGTTCCCCCACACCTCCTCCAGGCTGGGTGATCTACAGGTTTAGAGACACCCCCACTCTATAAAGAGCAGCTCCAGGCATTTACAAAGAAATGCACTGCAGTGAAAAACACTCCTTCATTTCAGCTCCCCTTTAGCAAGTTATACAGCACTAGACATGAGCATTTGATTAAGGTGTGCTGCATCTATTTTCATGTATTGCTTTGTCTTTTCCTTGCACAGAGCCCTGTGACATAACTCAGTATTGCTTATGGTACTGTCCCTGAGACGTTTAGAGACACTGCCAGCACTTGGCCTGTTTGGTTTGCAGAGTTGGTGACACTGTGTGGTAAGTCATGAATATTTGTCCATGAGCTCTGGTCTCAAGCAAACCCAGAAGCCATGGAAAACCACAGAATATCACAAGACTCCTGCAAAAAAAACCCCACCCATAAAACTATCTGTTTACTCAATTTATGAACCCATGTACTTCTGTAAACTCCTGAATATTTTGGAAACGTTATGGCAAACTTCCAGGTTATGAAAAAGACCAGAGATCTCATTATTAGCATTTCCCAGGGCAATAAAGAAAAAGATACTCCTTACCATGGCATTTTCATTTTATAATTTTTCTTGCTGTTGCATTACTTGTTACCATTAAACATGATAGGAAAGAGCTGTACAGTCTGTTCAGGGAACTGGAGCAGCATTCACAGCTTGGGGAAATTAAAGGCTACACGTGATAGCTATTAGTCCTGCGATACTAGGAGGTGATGAGTACAGTGTGAGGCTTTGAATAGGAACTAAGGGGAAACTAAAAAACATTAAGAGCATAAGGAGAAGATAACCTTGAAAACTCTCTGGACTAGAAGCCTCTCTCTCAGCAAACACTCTGGGCATTAGTGTCCCCACAGCTGTGGGTGTGCTGTTACTCCAGCACTGCAAGGCACTGGCTACAAAGACAAAAAGGAGCCTATTGCTTCTGGAAAATTTGCCTGCCTGTCCTTCTCACCCAAAAATACTGGGTAGCTCAGAAATACCAGACAACTTTTAAGTAATTTTCAGTTGCATTTTTACTGCTGAGGACAAGCAGGATAAATAGCTCTGGTGGGTTCAGGAGCTCAGTAGATGAAGCTTCAGGATAGCAGTTAGGCAAAGTCAGCAGCAAGCTGTCTGGGGTCTGCAGGGTTCAGTTTCAGCTGCTGTGAACACTCCACTACCTTATACTTCCTTCTGGTGTCTTTTGCAAGTAAATCAAAGTAATTGAGACTTGTGTTTGAATCTGGTTTACATTCTCCTGCAGCAAAAAGCAGAGATTTTTAACCAAATTAACAGTGCTGGGGATTTCATAAAGTGTGAAGCTCTGTCCTTGTTATGCTACTAAAGGCTTTTTGGTTAAGGATAGTGGATTTCAGTTTGGCTTCGAAAAGAGTGAACCAGCTCCATGGTTCTGAAACTGGCATGTTGAGAGGCCCCTCCTCAGTGCCTATACTGCCAGGCATTTACATTAGAGTTAAATGTCTAAGAAGAATAACGAACAAAACTGATTAGCTGTGCATGGCTAATAATAAAGTGGAAAATATTTTGCACTAACATTAAGGGACATAACTTTAGCATGTCATATGCAAATTTATCTGCATGACTTCCACTCATGATAATGGGAGCCACTTGGCTAAATTTCTGCTCAGTGAGCTGTTAATTCATCCCAAAGGGATTAAGTTTAAATTTAAACTTATAAAAAGGCATTTAATGTTAAATCTGAAACACTGTCTTGAATTCATATGGTTTTCAGAGAACAAAGGAATAGTGAATAAATTAGCAGTGATGTATTAGTGTGAATATTGAATTTCCTGAATTTAGTGATTAATTTGGGACAGTCTTAAATTGTGACATCCTGGTTCTGACCAATACCTGGTTAGTATGATATTCTGGTGTCCCAGCACGATATGCTCCCAAACATCTGATAAAAAATAAGTGCTTGATAATATGTTTTCTAATCAGCATTTTTCTTCTAGCTACTGTCAATAGTTGGCTTAAGTTCTGATACAGATGTGACCCAGTTTATATTTTACTTCTGGTTCTCACAGAATACTTCTGAATTATGCATCACTCATATTTAAGGGTTGAAACTCCATATAGAGTTACTGTGCAAAAAACCAAATTCCTTTTTATAATTTTAAAATAGTTCCCTTCCAATCTCTCTCTTGTTTTTTTCTTAAAGAAAAGATTATTTAGGAAGACCTAATTTTCCTTAAGGTACTATTCACTATTTTCTATATTTCACTGTGTTCTCTCTTGTTCCCATTTTTTTCTAAATTAAAGTATCCAAAACTTTACTTACATTTTTTTTTTAATGTGTCCTGTATCTCTCCTGATGTATGTTTCTGTTTCTATATATCTTTTCTACTCCTGCCTGTATCCTTCTAAGAATCAGTGGTCAAAACCCAGTATAAGTACACCACCAATTCATCCAGGTCATAATATTTGCTGTGTTATTACCTGTTCACCTTGATTTCTGCAGAAGACTGTCATTTGTTTTTCTCCTATCATCACTGTACTAAATAACTGTTTTCCTGAAGCTCTTCACAGTGATTTCCTACTTGACCTTTAGTCCAAATTCCACCTCTTGTTTCTCCCTCCTCCCCCCACACACCTAGAGTTATATGAATAAATAGTTGATACTACTCATTCTAATGCTTGCTGCTTTTCTAAACTGCATTTATAAGTAGTTACACAGGCCTTCTGAAATCCATCACAGCCTTCTCTTCTGTTAAAGTATGCTATCTCCTGTGCTAGCTGTCATATTTTCCACTTTTCACCTCCCTCCAGACTGATCATACAGGAAATACCACTTAATCTGTGTGCTGGGGACACCCACAAATATCCATATGTAGTTCTCATCTCTTCTACCTCTTTGCTTTTTCTCTCTTAACCAGCTTCTAATCCATGTCTGATCTTGTCTGGTCAACTGTTCACTCTCTGAAGGAGGTGCCAGGTCTTTTAGCATTCTTGTACAAAGTTGTGGTGCTGTATAAATATTTATTCATACATAAGGCATTCTGAGTACATTTTATCAGTTCATAGTCATCTAGGTGTTTTATACCTATTGAATTTTTTTTCCAATTAATTTCTACCACTGAGATAAGGCTTTCCGCTCTGTAATTACCAGGGTCATCCCCTGCATCTTGTTTAAAATTAGATAAAATATTAACTATTCTCTATTCCTAGCTGATGTGGAGTATGCTGTATGCTGCAGTTAATTGTGAGGAAAAATCTCTTACCTTGGAAAAGAATAACCACACTGTTCACAGCTCTGCAAAGGTCTGACCTTCAACATCCTTCCGCTATTGCAGCCCTAAGGTCTCCCAAGCCTTTATGCTATGAGCCCACATCACATCCAGATTTAAAGTCTATAAAGTTTATTTTCACTTGAGACTTAAGCCAGGTGGTAAATCAGGCTCTTATAAGAGATATGTCAGAAATTAAGTCAGCATGGCATGCAGCTACCTACTTTCAGACAATTGAAAGGATAATACCAAGTAACCTTTCTAGATATGTTTACTTTAGTGAACATTGTTCATGTCTGGTTCTGAAAATACTGACTTAGAGGCAAGAATATAGAATGATTTTTCCTTGTTTTTATCTCTAAATGTGCTTTGAATTGGTTAAAAATAAATATAATAGACTTTGTTTTTATGCAAAAATTTGCCTTCCTACAGAAATTGATGAATGGGAAAAAAGATAAGGCTGAAAGATTCAGCTACTAATATATCTGGAAGGGAAGAGAGTTTACAAGTGACTTAATTGTTATTTTCAAGCATGGTCATAAGTTTAAAAGTTATAGCACAAACCAAAAGGAAGTGCAGTCAAATGTCTCAAGGAACACATATCTCCATGTTACTAAAAAGAATATTTCCAGTGGTATATACATTCATGTTGTATCAGCCCTTTGCTGGGAAAAATCACTCCAACATAAGCCTCATTCTTGCAACAAAGTTCAGTAGCAACCACAGAGGGAGGTGGCAAATGGTCTCTCCAACTTCCTCTAAATTAACTTACCCATAGGTACCTGTTAAGACTCCTTTCTAACACATATATAACCACTCTCCTCATTCACCACTTCCAAATGCAAATAGCTGGGCAATGTTGTGCCATTAAACACATTAAAATTAAACTTATTTAAAATCAGTCCTTTCTGCAGGTTGACTGTGTGGGTGTGTGTCTCTGGCTTACTGCAGTGGAAGGTATGAACACTGCTCCATGAGGTACCAAGCTGGTATCTTAGCATGGGCAGCAATAGCAATGCCGTTACCTGTCTAGGCTCCACTCTAATTCTACTTGAACCTGTCTGGAAGCCTAGGCAGATCCTTCACCTCAGGAAGAGTGGTGAGTACAGGGGGCATTCACTTAAACTCTCTGGTCTCTCTCAAATTATTGATAGCATCTTTGCCTATGATACTTCACTACGGTCAGTGACTTCTGCCCATTGATTTTTGCACTGCAGATCCAACATGATAATCAATATAAGCATGATAATAAAACATGATAATGACAATGTAACATGATATAGTGTAATGATAATTATAATATAGCATGATACAGCATGATCAGTATAACATGATAATCCATATAAGCATCGTATGCGGCTCTGAGAAAAGCCTTCAGAATCCATGTAAGCAATAAATTTCCAAAATTACCAAAGAAAAGGAATTTAAATACCTCATGATATTTTTTCACTGTTTTCCCTGACATGCACGTGCAGGATTTCCAGTTCGAAGTCCCACAGCCACAGTTTCCTCCACAGCGCTGGACAAGGAGGCAGCGGGGGAAGAAAACTACATTTGTCAGCTTCAGTTCCTCCCTTAAATTGACAGAGTAGTTTCTCGGAGTGCAACTGTAACGTTTCACATCATCATTCAACCTGTCCAGGTCAACTGCAATGCATAAGAACTTTCATTAGTAAGGTCTGAGTGGGAGATTCCTCTGGTTTATACTGCTCCCCAGGTAGTTAATAACACAAAGTGATGTGACGCTGGTTGAAAAATATATGAAGTATAGCAGTGATTTCTGAACAGATAAACATAAACCCACCAGTTTTAAATCATGACAGATGGCCATCCAAGATCTCATTCTGGTTCCACTGACTTCCATAGCAGAGTTCATGATAACTATAAAGGTAAATGGAAGGCTTACAATAAAATACTGGCCTGAAAGCTGAAGACTGGTTATTTTATTTGCTTTGTTACTGATCTGTTGGATCCTTGGGTAATAGAGTCCACCACTGCTACTGTCTTCCCTCCTCTGCTTATATCTGGTTTACTTAGATTATGAGGTCATTTTGTTATTGCAGGTTTAACTCCTTTTGTCTAATTGCAGGCATACAAAAGGCAAACACTTTAAACAAGGCTCTTCCTGTGGACAGTAGAGAAATATCTTTGGAGACTGATTAATCCCTTCCTCACAAGGGCATTTAGGACAGGTGGCATGACTTGCTTTCTCAAGTTGCCTGTCTATATTGCTTATGGATAGAGTCTAGATAACTCTTTTAGATGGAGAAATCAATCTAAGCAATATTAATTTCAGCTGGTAAATGCTACTATAATAGGCATACAAATAAGTACAATTAAAACAAATGAGCTTCACTGAATACCAGTAGTTGGTTGATGTTTAAATGCCTGGTATCTCTGTGAGATGTGTCATGTAAACAAGTAGTAAAGCCAACCATAAAAATAACTTACAGACTACCAACTGTGAGTTTAAGTGCTGTTTCTAGCTTTAGCTTGTAAAGCTAAAACAAAACAAAAAACGCCTCCATAAATACATTTTCCACAGTTGTAACACAGATAAAAGTAGCAAATTTAATGAGTTTTATTTCTATAGAAGTTTCCTGATTTTTTTCCCCCTCTTTTTATGCTATTGTCTTTCCCTTCTTTCCTTTGTGCTTTCTTCTTTCACCAGCTAAGTGCTCAAAAGCTCAGTAATTCATTCAGGACTGGAGGACATGTGAACTTGTGTTGAGTTCCCACCCCAAACAGTATTTTCTAATAGAAACATGAACAGGAAAATAGGAATAGCACAAATGAGAATTGAGATAATGGTGTAGTGTTTGTGAACAGATTGGATTTTCATGGGCATGTTTATTAATAGCTCAACACCATCTCTGGTCCTGAGTGGATCTACGCTTGTGCTTTACTATAAAGATGTGAAAACCTCCAACAAAGACACTTCATACCTTCTTTGACACAGTCCTTGTCAACTTCACAAAGTAAGTTGTGGAAAACGCTGCGATGTGGAAATATGAACCTTTACATTCTGGCCTGGAGATATTCACAAGGCAGATATGCAAGAGGCAAGGGTACATAACTGTCACGACTGCTATTATAGAAAATCGTAGCAGCTTCACTTTTCTGGCAAGGTGTTATCTTAGTCAATGGGAATTTAGCAGATAAATTGTGATTTTATAGCAATTGTGATACATCTCACCATGAAATCTCAGTGGTTCTCTCCGGAGAGTTAGCATCTTTCCAAAAGAGGTATAGATCATCCTGATATAAGCACAAAATCAATGGGGCTACTGGTATACTCATGCACTGGGAGAAAAATACACTCCAGATGTTCACAGACAGGACTTAGAAGACCAAAGAATATTGATTTCTTTGTTTTAACAGATGATATTTTCTTTTCCGCTGTCATTCTCCAAAGCCACCTCTTCTCAGTGCAGGTTCTCGGGCTAATTCTTCTCACAGGAAAGTGTTCCCCACTCCTTTAAATGTTCTCATCAGGACCTTTGTCATCAGCTTTGCAAGCAAAGAGGTATCTGTCTACTATTCACTTCAGCAGATTGATGTGGAGGAAAAATTAACTAAAGGAAGAATAAGGCAGAAACTATTCTGCTTTCATGATTAATGAGTTTATTTAGGAAAACCTGGATTATCCACACTCTGGCACTTCATCAGTGTAGGGGAATGGATACTGATATGAGCAGGCTCCTATTGGGACAAGCTGGCCGTGGACTAAGATGGCATTTGCTGATGGTTGCATCTCTAGACAGAGTTAGAATAAAATGCTCAAAGGCTAAATTCAGATGTAATTCATCTGTAATTCAGCTGAGGTAATATAGGAAACAAGGTTTCCACTAACAAACTGGTCGTTAAAGAGGGCCCCAACCCAGGTCTCATGAACTGACGGCTGTGTCCTGGAGAAGATGTCCAAGGGACTGAACAAAATTTGCTCTATCACAGATTACATTTTCCCTCAGGCTCAATAGTCGTCTTCCCTGCATTGAGCTGATACCTATTATCACTGCTGCGTTATCAACACAGAAATGAGTTTTTGTAACGAGACTGGCAGAGAGGGAAAGCACCAGTATTTAAAGGACCAGGGAGGGGGGGGCTTTCCTGCGGAGAGCATATTATATCCATCACCGTGTTACACATATTAGCTTCAGTACTTAAGCTGCTCAATTTAAATGGCAAGGGGTGACCTAGCAAAGTGCCTTCACTGGAGAGAAGGCTTTGCTCTCTAGCCTTAAAAAGCCTAGTTTTGATGACTTTCAGAAGTCTTTGCAGAATCTCTTAGGCTGTAGCTGAGTCAGTACTGTGGAGAGCTGTTGACTTGTTTGAAGCATAGGGGGGAATAACCAGATAATTAAGACAATTTTTTTCTCTATGCAGCACGAAGGAATCAGCTGTTTTCAGTGAGGGCTCAAAACCTTCTCTGGATGCATTGTTCAGGAATTCTGAAAACAACCAGTAGCAAAATACATTTTATTTAGTATATCTTTCTATGATGAAGTATATTTGAAAAGACTTATGGGAAATTTTCCAATAGAAAATTGCATGAATTCTCCTTGGTATCATACTCAATGCATGCTGATCCTGACTTATTAGCAGTTTTCAGGACCCCAAATCTCAGAGTTATCTGTTAAAATGTGAATTCTCTGCACTTTGCCTATCTCAGGTGTCAGAGTCCAGGTTGAAATGGACAAATACAACAGCCGAAAGGTCTTATTTTAGTGATGCTGAAATCATGAAAATAAATGACTTAAAGCAGAGAAAGAAAGACTACCTAAAGGGTTTAAGAGATACATAAGTAATTGTCTATAAAAATTAATGTGGCAGTAAACACCTATGCTCTTTTTGACTCTGCTCTACAGAAATGCACTGCTTGGTGGGATAAGTTGAACAGCATAATGTCTTCTGTGAACAGAGCATACTGTACTCTGGTAGCATCACACTGACATGCAAGAATTTGCTTTAAACCATAGTTTGCAGCCTCCTAACAAAAGAACACATTTTGCTCAGAACAACTCTCTCTGCTGAAAGCTTCGATATGCATTTTTCCCTGTCTTGGGATTGTTTTACTGTCTGGAGCCAGTCCATTTCCTCATCCATATAACAATGAGATTTTACAGTACAGTCAGTTTCATGCATCACTTCACTGCTGTGACTAAAATGTAACCAAGCCTTGCTTGGCGTGACTGGTGTGAAATCCTGCTGCTTTACTTATCAAGGACTGAAACCACTGGAGTCCTTAATTTAAAACTAGAACTAAAAGGTTCTGTAGACTGGATGCAAATAACTTCAAAGCATTATTACAGAATGTCTGCAACAGAGATTCAATTTAAAGGCAAGGCATACAAAAAAAGATGTAGTGGAGCAGTAATCTGCATACTTGGGGTACAGTGTCCCCTCCTTCCCCCTAAATCCTATGCTTAAATCCATCCTCATTTCACATAGCACTATGGCATGTGCTTACCTTGAAACATTGATCTTAAATCAGAGGCAAGCACTGAAATCAGGGACTGCAGCTAATACCATGTCTTATTCAAAAGGGACAGCCTTAAAGATTGGAGAGAAAAACATGTGCTGCTGGTCACTGATTAATTGTAACAAGACAGGAGGTCCATTAGGGTTTCTTTTAACACTTTATCTGTTTCAAATTCATACATGTCCCTAAAATTATCACATCTGAACATTTACCTGTTTTTCATACATTAGTCACAGACCAGACCTGAGATGTAAGAGATGGTAGCCACGTTGCCAAGGTATTCCTGTAACAGAAATCAAGGCCATCTACAGGCAAGGGAAGAGGGATGGAGGCAGCTTCAGAGCAGTCAGCTTAACCTCAGCCCATGGTAAAATTAAGGGGTAAATCCTCCTGGAAGCAAAGTCCAGGCACATGAAAGACAAGAGGGTGACTGGGAACAGACAGAAAAGATTCACCAAGGGCAAATTTTGATGAACCAACCTGAGACTCTGCTATGATGAGACAACCATCTTGCTGGATGAGGTTAAAGCAGCAGAGGCATCTGCTGATTTTTGACAGTGATCGATAGCATCCTTGCAGCAAACTGTTGAGATATAATGGGATAGGTGGACTACAAATTCAGTAGATAACTGGAAAGTCCAAGAGGCTTGAGCAGAATGATCAGCAATTCCAAGTACAACTGGTGGCTGGTTACTAGCAGTGTTCCCCAGGGCGTAATGCTGGGGTCAATAGTGCTAAAGATCTTCACTAATGATCTGAACAATGGAACGATGTGAACCCTCATCACGTTTGCCAGTGACATCACATTGGGGAAATTTGTCCACATGCTGCAGGACTGTCTTTCAGAAGGACCTCAGCAGGCTGGAGAAATATGCTGGCAAGAGCCTCACGAGGTTCAGTGATGACAAATGGAAATTACTGCACCTGACATCAAATAACCCCATGCATCAGTCCAGACTGGAGACATACTGGCTAAGCAGAAGCTTTCCAGAAAAAGCCTTGGCATTCTGGTAGATGCAGGTTGAACATGAGTCAACTGTTTGCCTTGCAGTGACAGAGGCTGCACACTAAGCTGTATTAGGAAGAATGTGGCAGCAGGTTGAGGGAGATGAATAGTCCACTTCATTCAGCTCTTGTGAACCTCCATCTGGAGTACTGTGTCCAG